TGGCTTTGCTTTGATATCCAAGAAAATGTCCATGCAATGCTTGGCTTGAATCAATGTTTAGGGACAAGCTATCTTGATGCATGATAAGCAAATCTTCGAAGTTCTCCATGCTTAGACTTGCATCAGGGGGGTAGACAGACTTTAGCTTGAGCTTAGAAATGAGTTTTAGAAGCCACAGCAAATTGTACTGTTCTTTCATTTGTTTGCATGATGCTCAGACGGGTCGGATCACGAACCATTATCATCACTAAAAAAAGTCTGAACCCGAACTTAAGCAAGAATGTCATTTATCAGACACAACATGCTCTAACATTGAATTACAAAAAAAAAAAAAAAAAATGCTCCAACTACACAACTTTTTAGTTCTATCCGTTGGAAAGTGAATAGAAATTGTCTAGTTTTCTTGATTTGTTGATGTTGGGAAACGTTTTCCAGGGTAGAATGGTTGAATATGTATTCCTAGTTTCCTACCCCTTTTAAAATATTATCCTTTTTGTTATATGGAATGTCAAACACAACATAACGGCCAAAAAGATACAGTATAGGTTTTCACAATGTATGACACTGTGAATATAAAAATTAAAGTAGTGCTTGATGGCCTTGATCAGACCTGTAGTATCTAAGATTTCTATAATATGACGTACAATTATATACTGTATTCAAAATTGTCATGGATAGCCAGTTAAATAAGTACTTCGTTCCTCTGTTTCTTAATATTTGCAACACTTCTTTTTTCACGCTTGTCAATGCACTATTTCAATTGTTAATATCCTTAATTACCAATGTGTAAAATTATAAAAATTTGATGTTATGAAAGTACAAATTTAGACGGGTATAACAAGATCCCACATTAATATATTTTTTCTAAGTTATAAATCACCAAAGCTAGTTAAAGTAACATATGTGAATAGTATAAAAGTTAAACTGTTGCAAGGAAAAGAAACAAAGGAAGTACTATTTTATTCATACTTATGTTCATTTAACTTATGCAAACTTAAGGCAGAACATAGTTCGTTGTCACAGGACAAGCACAAATCACCCGTGCGCCGCCTTAATCCCAAACCTCGATCCAGTCAGCTTTCCTCGTATGCATAATAAGCTAATAAATAAAGGAAATATCACGCAATGACACTAACCTACATCACAAATACATGCATCAGTAAGGCACACGGGTATAGAGAGGTTGCCTCGTATGAGACTTATGGTGCCAGGGCATTAGGGAAACTATCAGCACATGACAAGCTCCCCCACCTAAGCCACAAACACCCTCGTTATAGTGCTTCAAGGTTAGCTCCACGTTGCTTCCCTACGTACAACAAATCACCGATCGCTTCCGTTAAACACAAATGACATGCATTCTACACACTCGCCTAATAATGAAGCCAAATGCTAACACAATTGGTCTCCCTCCTGAGCACCACATCGCAACTCCTCATCGAGACCCGCTTTGTTGCAACTTCTTCGTGTTTCTACCGATCATCTCTTCCTTGATCGCTCAACTTGTCCCTCTTGCATTGGCTTCGACCATTTAGTAGTCACGAACATACCCCCAATCCTATCAAGAGGTTCTCCCCCCCCCCCCCATCGAGCTTGCCGCTTACCCTCATGGTGAGCGCACCATCCACACTCCTTCAAGTGCCCCACGAGCACTCCTAACTTTGACAATTCTTTATACTTGCACTAGACCGGGTCATGTCAACTCTCCCGTGCCACAATTATAAACGGTGGACCTCTTTGATGGTGAACAAAACTTCCCCACTTGAATGATGTTCAAACGGCTCTGATACCACATGTCATGGGACTAGCACAAATTGCCTGCACGAATCCTCGAGGCTTGATGCAGACCAACTTTCCACATATACGTAACAAGCTAATAAAAAAGGACACTAAGCACAATGACACTAATTAGCACCACAAAGGCACAAACACATTCATGCCCCTTAGTAATAAGGCACACAAAGTATAGGGAAGTTGCCTCATATGGGACTTGTTGTGCCAGGACATTGGGAAACTATTAGCACGTAACATCGTGATGTCAACCAAGACAAAGCATGATTCATTAAATATATTTGTACTACATATTATACTTCCTCCATTCTAAATTAGTTGACACATTTCTTTTATCACGGTTGTCAATGCAAAAATTCAATCAAAAAAGAACTTAATTATACTTTTGTAGATAATAATTAAATTAATTTTTAATTAAGTACACATTGAAATGAATCTAACAAGATCCTTCGTGGCTATAAATTTTCATATTAAATCACAATTATTACTCAAATTAAAGTTTATGTTAATATATCGTTAAAATTCCAACCATGTAACTATTTAGAATACAGGAGTAGTATACATTAATTAATATTTAACAAGTTCTTTGTTGTTCTAGTTTTCGACTGCCCTAGCCTTCCCCCGCTCTGACCACCTGAAGGATGAGTTAGGTTAGCCTACTTTTTTTTTACAATTTTGGTTTTTATTTCTCTTGCAACAAATACTTTTGACATACATAGTATTTACAAATAACTTAAGTCAGGACTCGATTCGAGCAGTAAATACAAATAATTGATCAAACTAGCCAAATAAAACAACCGCTAACCAAATGATGATTGTCACTTGAGGTACATGGGATTCTCAAACTCGATTCTAAATTTTGTGTATCACCTCAAAACTTATTAAACTAACTAAATAAACTTGCACCTACTTCAAACATACGTAATATTGTATTTATTATTACGCGTAAGCCTTAACTCATAATTGTAAAAACAGCAATACGTTAGTTTTCAAGATGCCCTACACAATTTATGTCATAGTCGTATAGTAACGAAGAAACTTCCTCGCTTTATAAGTTAATACAAAACTGAGAAAAAAAAAAAAGAAGGAAAGTACAAATGTAAATTATATAATAAAATAAACTGAGAAACGAAATCAGAATCATCCTAACCAAGTCAGCGACAAATACAAGAATAAAATCTCACTGTTTTAAAAATGATTGAACTAATGAAAGTCAGTTGAGCACATTTTAGGTGAATTAGAGTGGATCTGAGGAAGAACGTTGACTGACTATTTTTCCTTACAAAAATTTATTGATAATATAATAATTATTCATTGCATGTCTGATGTCCTTTTAGATGATTGTCCAAAACAAATTAAATCTGATCTAACTAGCTAAGAGTAATAATTACAACAAACGTAAATGAAGAAAATTATTAGCGAAAGTCATCCATTAATTTGTATTGTACTCGTATTTGTGGATAATAATGGACAAACAATTGTTACTCATTTAATTTCAATTAACTCTATTTCAATTGATTATTATTATTAATAAACCTTTATAAATCCGTGTATTACACGGGGTTAAAAATTAGCTTGTAATATATACTATATACTAATATAATCACCATATGTGTCCCAAAAAGTACACGTGTCGCATTTACATTAAAAAAAATTCCGCCCAAATTTAAGAACTTACAATAATTTATAAAATAATATTTTAACCAATGTGTATCTAACAAGTGAGTTTTAAGGATAGACATTAAATGATTCAAATTTTAAATAAAAAAAAGTATATATAAGTCAGTTCATTTAAACTAAATCCATTTTAATTGGCTTTTATTATTTTCAAGTCTTATTATAATCCGTGCATTTACACATGGTAAAAACTAGTATTACAAATATTAGTGAAAATCCAAATATATGACTATATTCTCTATCACAAGGATAAACCAATAGAATCTAAATGTCCTATGTGTTAGGAATATACTAATAAATTCAAGTAATGCTATTGTTTTATCTTATACGATGTATATAATTGCATAGTCAATTCACCACAACCCTACAAATCCCCAAAACTCAAACCCCATTCATTTGAGGGTTTTTTTTTAACCAATAACTAACCAAGTAACTCATCCCACATTCCCACTATATTATTTATTTATTTTTATTTTTTTTAAAAAAACTTAATAAGGATAATAACTACCCATTCCACCTTTTTTTTTTTTTTTTGGGAAATTCTCATTGGTAATCATCTATTATTTTTTTTTTCTCAATGGTAAAGGGTGCAACTTTTAATTATCCTTGGTAACCAAACATTAATATGATTAATTAAATGGTAACATGTGTTTAAAAAACATCATTAAATCATTAACCATGGTTTAATAACAATGAATTGACTTATTTACCCTAACAATTATTTCCCTCCTTTTTTTTTTTCTTCTGGTTTTCGTTCCCCATTTCTAAAACCCCCAATTCATCTTCAATTACTCAATTCTAGGGTTCTTCATTTTCCAGATTAGGGTTTATGGCAAAATCGGGTTCATCCTCTATATCAACGAAGATTATCACCATGGACGACAAGCTTGAATGGGTGAAGTTTGTGACCTATAAATGTTCTCCTCCAAAAATCGCTATTTTTCAAGTGTAGGGGCTACGATAATTTTGCTTGGGTGAAGGAAGGAGATGCAGTCAGGGCAGGGGATGAATTCGAGGTTGAAGGAGGTTCATCTGGTTCTTTGAAGACAAAAGTTGAGGATTTGGCCAATTTCATGAAAGTTGATGAGAAAATGGCGCTTATATTGTATTTTGTGTTGTTGTCTGTTGTTTCTAAGTACTAATGTATGCATCCCTTATTGGTATGCTTTGGTTAATTCATGTACTGAAAGGCTTTTGTGCTATTATCAATAAAATGGTTGGTTTTGAATTTATGAAATTTATTGCATTCAATATAACAGTAACCATAATATAGTCAATTGCATCCAATAGAATAGTAATTACAAAATTGCAAAATGATATAAGTCAATTCCTGCCAAAAGTCAGATTACTTACAAAATGATATCAAATCAAGTTTCACTACTACTGCCATGTCCACTAACTATTGTCAAAGATGTGTCTACTAACATCTTTTACTTAGAGAAAATACATCACAACTTTTAAATATGTCCAAAAAAAAAAACACACAAACAGCAAAATAGCTCCACAAAATAACATTTGCATTCTAAATAAATTAACTAAGCAGGCTGAGAGGCAGAGACACCCTTCCTTGTTCTTGGTGAACTTCTTATAGGCTGGGATGATGACGCATCTGTTGTTGGATCAGGTTGGGACAGAGAGATCCCCTTTGGATTTGGTTTGGGTCCCTGTTTCTTGTTCTTCTTCCCTTCAGTTGCTGCCTCGGATGCTTTTTCTTTCCCAGTGAGCCCTCCTTGGCATGTCTGAGAGTTATGCCCATAGTTCTGGCACTTGCTGCACTTAACAGTCTTGGACCTTTTACCCTTGGCCTGCTCACCTTCTTCCCTTCTTCTATTTCTTGCAGGCCTACCAATACCTCTTTTCATATTGGGTGGGGCTATTTCTGGGTAGGTGTTGTCAGGCCATTGTTCAACATCTGGGATGGATTTGATTGTGTTGCCATATGTGAGCTTGTACCTTCTCAAGGAGTACCATTCACTCACATACTTCTTAGGATCCTCATGTGCATGTATAATAGCCCTCATAGCATGCTTACATGGCAATCCAGACAGCTGCCACACATTACATGCACAAGTTTTGTCATTTAAGTTGACAGGTAACACTGATTTACCATCTAACACTTCATACTCTCCATCTCCAGCCTTCAAACACCTACAAGTCCTAGACTCATGACTAAGCACTTGCAATCTTCTAATGATATTTGGACAAATATCATCATTCCAACTCTCACACTGCTCCCATCTAGTGGCCAGTCTGACCATAGTCAGTCTTCTGATCCCTACATTAAAATGTAAACAAATTCAGTTCTTGCTACTAAGTATGGTAATGCAACTTCAACATAAGCATAAGGCTACCTTCAAGTAAAGTGAGAACAGGTCTGCATATGTTGATTCCTAGCTAGAGTAGCATTAAAGCTCTCTACAAAATTTGACTTATTCACATCACACTTTATGTTAGGGTTGAAAGCATGTTTTGACCATGTTGATTGGGGTCCCACTTTTGACAACAAAACTAATGCCAAGGGATTAGCCTTCTGGAGAGCTTCCATTGCTTTTCTGAAAGTAAAAGGGTTATAAGCCCTAGCTGCCTTCCAAAAGAGTAAGAACATGAGTAATCCTGGGAATTCCCCCTTGAAGTTCTTGACAAGATGTTTGCAGCAATATCTTCTACCAGATTTAGGCCATAATTCAGTTAGTACAGCTTGTATACCCTACATTTCACACACATGTTCATAAGTGAGTCAGCAACAAAATTTAGTAAACTATGAACTAAAAAACCAGGACAAGTCATAAGAGTTTACCTTTTGCCTATCTGAGATGATACACCATTCATCTCCTCTTCCACTATCCTTCAATGCATTCTTCAAATGCCAGATGAAAAACTTCCATGTATCAGTGTTTTCAGCTTCAACTATTGCCCAGGCAATTGGAAACAATTCATTGTTTGCATCCAAAGCAATAGCTGAAAGTAGAACTCCACCATAGTTTGGGGTGTTTGTACATTATTTTCCTTATCCTTATCCCAATACTCAACTATGAGGTCTATTAAATTCACCTTATCAACATCCTCAACATTCACAGAAACATCAATACCCCTATATTGAAATTGCAACACTACAACATCACCCATTCTGCAACAAATACACAACCAAACAACACAACAGCAACAAACACTATAAGAATCATACCCTAACACACGAAAACAGAGCATAGCACAACAAATTGCAAAAAATATAATCATACCTGGCTTCGAATCGAGTTTTATGTTGTAATTTTCCTCAGATAATGGCTAAATATTTAATCTTGCAAGCCTTACGAACAGAATTCGATCGTACTTCACCCAGCAAACCTAAGAATCTGTTTCACCAAGTCCCTCGCAATTCACAAAACAATCCCCCAAAAAACCCCAATTTGTTTGATTAAAACCCTACTAACTCAAAAACCCAGATTTTAGAAGATCGCTCGTGATTTTTAAATTGAAATTCTTCGCAAATTGCTCTCCAATTGTCTGAGTACAATTTTTCCAACTGATGAAGATGAACGATCAAACCAATTCACTTAATTTGATTAGACACAGTTGGTTGGGGTAAAATCAATGGGGGCAAAATTGTCTTTTCGCATCTCAAGACCTAAACCCTGGTTAAATAATTAACCAATACTAAAACACATGTTACCATTTAATTAATCATATTAATGTTTGGTTACCAAGGATAATTAAAAGTTGCACCCTTTACCATTGAGAAAAAAAAAAATAATAGATGATTACCAATGAGAATTTCCCTTTTTTTTTTAATAATTTTTTCAAGGAACTGCAACAATTAATAAAAAAATCACTTTTTTTTAAATGCTACTAACATTTCACACATTGTGTTATTTTCTTAGAAATAATTGTAGAGTCAATTCACCACAGCCCAACAAATCCCCAAATTCAAATCTCATGCATTTTCCAAATATTCATCCCATATTCCCACTATATTATTTATTTATTTATTTTTTTAAAAAATTAATAAGGACAATAAGTACACATCCCACCGTTGTTTTTTTTTTTTAAAAAAAAAAATCAAGGGACTACAACAATTAATAAAATTCACTTTTTTTTAAAGCACTACTAACATTTCACTTTGTTTTATTTTCTTTCGTGCGGAATAATATATGTCGTGCATTAGCACGAAAATACAGTTCTTTTATCAACAATTCACCATAGCACTCTAAATCCCCAATCCTTCAATTGTATGCATACTTTTTGGGGACTATCCTACAAACAATTTCCACTTCTCTAATCATAAAAAAATAATAATAAAAAATGTACAACACGTTATTTGCGCAACTGGCCTCACCGAATAACTACTTGTAGAAGATCAAAAATAGACCTATGACACTAAGTAACCCCTATAACACAAAATGGGTAACCTCTATAGATTTAACAAAGTAGCCCCCATATATGATAGCTGGCTACATTGTGTGGACGCCCACATATAAGAGTTGGCCCTGTTTTTTGAATTTCTGAGCAAAGCAGTAAATATCAGATTTCAGTAGAGCGGAAAGGGTGTCGACAACTAGATTACTAATACTCAATAGAGCAGATTTGAACATAAAATTGTAAAGCCGATGAGACGACCACAACAGCTCTAAAAAAAACATGGCCTAAGTTACTACATCAAATCAACCTCCCTATATGAAATATTTAGTATATTTTTTTCTTATATTATATATTTAATTTTTTTTTTCTAATACTACCTTCGGTCCAAATTACTCGCAACTATTTCCTTTTTGGGCCGGTCCACATTAAACGCAACTTTCCAATTTATTTCCTTTTTAGCAACTTTTATTGGTAAAATTACCATTTTACCCTTACTTTTTTTTTAAAAACACCCTTATTAAATAACTGATTTTATCTAATTAGCTTAAACCCTAACATTAATTAAGGGTTCGTTTGGCATTGTTGTGGTTTTCTGTTTTTTGGTTTTTTTTTTGTATAAAAATATATGATATATGTCACATAATGAATAAAAAATTATTTAAACTTATTAAAATCATAATAATTTTGAAAACTAACAACAAAAAAGTTGAAAGACCTTTTTCTTGTTTCCTGTTTTTGGTTTTTAGTTTTCAGAAAAATAGGAAACTAAAAACCAAAAATGATGCCAAATAAGCCCTAAGTTAACTATTTTCTCCAAAATCAACCCCTTTCCATCTAATCAGCCACGGAAACCAATTCCAGCCACCTTCATCCTCCTTCATCTCCTTCCTCATCACCATTATTCATCAAATTTCTACATCTTCTTCCTCATCCCCATTATTTTTCTCTCTCCTCCTTCAGTTTCCTATTATTTTTCCAGGTATGTGGGTTTATGGTTTCAGATCGTGGGTCGTAGGTCGACGGTTGTGGGTAGGGATGGCAATGGATTTGGACCCGACCCGGAGCTGTGGATCCGGATCCGTTTTTCACGGATCTGGGTCTTCTAATTTTGGACCCGATGGATCCGGGTCGGATCCGGGTCCTGCTGACAAAAACGGATCTGGATCTGGGTCTGGGCCCTTGACCCGGATCCAGATCCGTGGACCCTTTTTTTAATTTTTCCTATTAAAAAAAACTAAAATTTTTTGTTTCTTTATTTAAAAATGTTGATAATGTTAGTAATGATAAAGATAAACTCTTTCAAGAGATGAATTTTGGATGCTCATATTATATACATCATCGTTGTTTTTCACTAGCCCATATGTAACGTTGTATTTTTTTTTTGTTGTTTATAATTTAATTCAAAATATGAGTGTATAAGTTGGTTAATTTGGGGTTGAACTTAATAACCAACAACGTAAGTTTGAAATAATTTTTTTGACCCGAACATTACATTCACTAGTAGAATAAACGTAATGGCAAGCGGTTTTGAACCGCATGGGCTTATGGGGCTTGCCATTAGCCATTTAAATAGCAAGCGGTTCAGAACCGCTTGCCATTACTAGAGAAAGGGCAGCGGTTTTGGCGCCAAACTGCTGCCCATTATGGGTATAAAAAAATACCAAAATTGCTGCCCATTATGGGTATAAAAAATAATATTTTTTTTGGGGTTTTTTCCACATAAATTGATATATAAACCAAACATATGTAAAAACATTAATATTTTTATTAATTATTTGTTGTAATATTACATTTTCATTAAAAAAAATTAATTCAACTAATAAAATTAATACAAATAATAAAAGAATAATAAAAAAATTAAAAAACTCATGTTCCAGGACTTCCAGCCATGACCACCAACACCACCGTCCAGGCCAGCACCACCACCCACCACGACCCCCACGAGCAGCCACACCCACCAGAACCCCTAACTGACCCGGCCCCCACCCACCAAACCCTCACCAAAACCCACAACCCCACCACGACCCCCACTACTCCTCACCCACCAGAACCACCAACTGACCCCCACCCACCAAAACCCTCACCGAAACCCTAACCCAAACCACAACCCCCACCCACACAACCAGACCCCCAACCAAACCACGACCAGACCCCCATCCAAACCACGACCCCCCACCCACCATGACCGTACCCCCACTAAAAATAAATCTAAAATCGAAATAAAAAAAAAAATCGACCCACCTTTAAAAAAAAAAACCATCTAGCCCACCACGACCTCTACCCAAACTAGATCCCCGCCATGAAAACGCCAATTTGGGCTTGAAATTATGGTTTAAAAGGTGAAATTCGACCATAAAAACTCTAGATCTAGAGTTTTTCATGGTCGAATTTGACCTAAAAAACTTGAACACCCAAACGCATGCACGAATTTGCTTGAAATTGTACTCGAAATTGTCCTCAATCTGCTCAAAAACTTGGGGTTTTGGTTGAATTTGCTCGAAATTTTTTGGTTTTGGTTCGAATTTGTGGAGATGAGAAAGAACAAAGAAAAAAAGAAAGTGAAAGAAGAAAGGATTGAAGGAAAGAGAAGGGGAGAGAAAGGGAAAACGGGAGAAAGAAAGAGGAGAGAGATAGAGCACCGAAAATGAAAGAGGAGAGAGAGAGAGAGAGCTGAGTAAAGAAAGAGGAGAGAGAGAAATAAAGGGAGGGGTGGGTAGGTACGGTTTTAGGGTTTTTTTAAAATGGCAAGCGGTTTGGGGTTGAACCGCTTACCAATATATGTAATGGCAAGCGGTTTAACCCCCAAACCGCTTGTCATTTATATATTGGCAAGCGGTTCGCGCCAAAACCGCTTGCCATTCAATATAAGAGTTTTTTTTTTTTAAAAAAAAAACTAGGTAAATGGCAAGCGGATTTTTAAAACCGTTGCCATTTGGGGCTTCCCATCAAGTATTTTCTACTAGTAATTTATTGCAAAAAATTAGGCAAAATATATTGGACCCGGATCCGGACCCGAATTTGTTGGACCCGACGAATCCGGATTCGGGTCTTCATTTTCTAGACCCGACAGATCCGGGTCGGATCTAGATCCTATATACAAAAATGGATCTGGATCCGGGTCCATCCGGACCTGGTCCAAATCCGACCCGTTGCCATCCCTAGTTGTGGGTTGCAGATTGTGGATGCGAGATCGTCGGTGGTAGGTTATGGTAGATTGCTGCGGGTCGAGGGTTCGGTGGTAGGTGGGAGGTTACCGCGGCTCATGAGTTTACTGGGGTCGATGGGTTCGAGGGTCGTAGGTCGTAGGTTCGTTGGTACTGGGGTCGGTGGGTTCGGAGGTCGTAGGTTCGTTGGTGCTGGGGTCGGTGGTGGTGGTGGTGGCCGGTGGGTGGTTTCTGTACAGCAAGTTGGTGCCGGTGGTGGTGGGTAAATTAATATAAATTTAGTTGAATTTGTTTTTTTTGGGTTGGATTAAAATTAAGCATATACCCTTATCTTTCAATAATCATGCTTATGATATTTTGCCTCGGCCTCCGCAAACCCTCCCAAAGTTGCGAGTAATTTGGAGTGGAGGTAGTATAAAATATAGCCCGCGCATTTTGCACGGGTACGCTCTAATTTAATAAATAATTGAAAAAACTTTGCCTAACTGATAAGTATTGTTAATCCAAAAACTTACTCGTAGGGTATTTTTATTTTTTATTTTAATAAAATGTCAAGGGTAAGCAAGCACCATTTTTTTCCGTTTAGGCAAATATAATGGTTTATATTTTGCTTAAGTCTTAGTAAAAATAGTTAGCTTAGGGCTCGTTTAGCATTGCCGTGGTTTTCAGTTTTTTGGTTTTTTATTTTTCAAAAAAATAAGATATATGTCAAATAATGATTAAAAATTAGTCAAACTTATTAAAATCATGATAATTTTAAAAACTGGCTATATAAAAAAGGAAATATTTTTTTTCTTGTTTCCTATATTTTTGGTTATTTGTTAAAGCACTTAATTTAAAAGTTTGCCTTGGGATATGTTAGTGAAAGAAGAATCAAGGATAGATATGAAAAAGTTTCATATAAAACCACTATTTCCCCTGTCTCTTATATAGTGGTTTATTAGAGTTGGTTTGGTTATATTTGTCAATATTGTATTTATGTTAAAGTTATCTTATTAGGAGTTTTAGGCAATTTAAGTTACCGATTGTATTGTGTATATATATGTGTTTAATATCAATGCAAAGGTTAAACCATTTTCTCCAGGCCACAATATTCTTGAGAACATGGTATCAGAGTTAGGTTCATAATATGGGACCTTAAGTGGCTAAAAGTTCACTGGGCCAAGAGTTAGTCCATGTAAAGGGGAGTGATGAAACACTCTAGCCCCATGAGACAAAAGTTAAAAAGGGAACTTACATGTGAGGGGGAGTGTTGAAAAAATAGACCTCTCGAGTATCACCACATGTATGTGTCCCACATTGGTTGAAGAAGAGATAATTAAACATTTTATAAGGCTAAGGGGCTACTCCTCCTATTGCCAAATGGTTTTGGGATGGAACCTCCTTTGGACTTGTGAAGTGGACTCTCTCTCTCTTGGTAATTTGCGGGAGCGGCCCAGACTCGTATCTATTTTTGGATAGTCAAAATTAGCAGCTTATTTCTGTTTAAAGAGTGTACTTTATAACAAATTTACAATTTTTATTATGGGTTGTCATTATTTTTCTTTTATTTTTATGTACTCTTGACTAGGGTTGTTCATCGGTCCAAGACCAGACCGGACCGGATCGACCCGGATTGGACCTAAGGCCGAAAATTAGAATTTTAAGAACTGAAGACCGGACCGATTAAGTTAGGACCGAACCCGGACCGGACCAAAAGAATCGATCCAAAACCCGGACCGAACCGCTTTGGACCGATTTGAGAATTTTTTTAAAAAGAAAACTAAATTTTTAATAAAGTTAAGGAAAACACAAAAAAAGTATTGGAAAAACTATATTGTAACGTCATTTTTACGTCTTTTTTTGTATGTTTAGTGCAAAAAAAACTTATAAATTTAAAGTTTACTAAGCTTATTAAGGATAATTTTAACCATTATTTAAGGTTTCACACATATTTTTAATAAAAAAAAGTCCGGTCCAAAACCGATTTTTATAGGGTTTTGGACCGGACCAGACCGAAGACCGGAAAAATGAATTTCAAGACCCGAAGACCGGACCGATTAATTCGGTCCGGTCCGGTTCGGGTTCGGTCCGGTCCATTTTTTTCGGTTCGGACCGATTTATGAAAACCCTTACTCTTGACATCATTTTTCAACACTTTTCTTCAATAATTACCAACTACTCTTTCTCTTTATCTTTCATTAACTCCACATGCATACTCTCAATCATTAGTTTTAAGATATCTATAAATTTTTTTAATTCCCGTGAAAAAATCAAATAGGTCACTAAATAAAGAATGAAGAGAGTATGTCTTTTCTCTTAAAAAAAAAGGGATTATGTCTTAGTGTCAGTTCTCATAGTCTGAACTGAAATGAATATTTTATAAGAGAAGGAAATTAGGAACTGAAATGAGCTGAGCTGAAAATAAACGTATGAGAACAGACCCTTAGTCTCACCCTTGATAGAGAGTCATTTATAGACCTAGAAATTTAACCAAATCTTCTATCCCAAAAAAGGTAAAATGAGTAAAAATCAATCAAGAAAATCACTATTTTTAAGATCAAAAAAAAAAAAAAAAAAAAAAAAAAAAAAAAAACTCAAATAATAGATCTTCTTCACTCAATTTCACAGTGACAATGAATAAAAGTGGTTGGTGGTGAAGCAGTTAATGTGACAGTGAGTTACCCAGTTCCCATCAAAATATAAATGCGTTTGGCATGGTTGTTGCCAATATTGTTCCCATTTAAATAAATGCTACTCTTATCTTCCTCACTCACTAATATAAATATGAAAGTGATCAAAAGCACCAAATTTTACAGCTTGACTCTTTTCTTTCTTTATTATTACTACTGTACTTCGCTTTCACAGTAATCTAGAGAGAGAAACTGACAGAGTAAGAGAGAGAATTTGAGGAGGGCACGTGGGCATTCATCAGCTTGTGGCCACCATTGTTGTATTTCTGAGCTTTTTATGCTTCACTTCACTTTCCAGCCATTTCTCACACAAATCCCATTTCTTCTTCTTAATAAAGCTCCAATCTTTTTTAAGTTCGATCTTTGTAGACCAACATAGAGATAAATTCTTGGTTCATGTAGCTGACTCAACTCGACTCGATTCGACCCCACTAAACAAAATTAAGCCTAATACCCAATTTGTGTATCTCATTAATGTACCAACCCAGGTACACATTAATGTGAAGTTGCTGTTGTTGCTGTTAATTACTTATGATATTTGGACCACCTTCAAATTGACTAGTAAATACCCTTTTCTTTATTAAAAGAAAGAATGTCAGTATTTGTTATGTTGCTATTATATGGTTGTCATATTTGTCTTGCTCTTTCTTTTTGCAGATTCCTAATATCCCAGAAATTTAATTTTTTTTTTCTAGGTTAATTTGATGATTAGCTAGTATAATGTGGTTTAGAGGAGCTAGGTTTTGTGTATTACTAGCATTGTGATTTGTGAGCATGAGAAAATTCCAGAAGCAGAAATTTAAGTTGGTTCTTGTGTTACTGTTTTTCTTGTTTCTGGAATTTGTCTTTGTTTGCCCAGCTACTGAGAAAGAGAAGCAGATTTTGCTGCAGTTTAAGGGCAATGTCTCAAATGACCCTCTTAATGTGTTAAGTTCTTGGGTTGCTGCGGCTGATCCGTGCAGAAATTATACTGGTATTGTTTGTGATGCTAACCAAAATGTTGCTAGAATTGTATTGTGGAATACTAGCCTTTCTGGGGTTTTGGCACCTGCATTATCTGGGTTGCCATCGCTTCGGTCGATCACTTTGTTTGGCAATAGGTTTACTGGGAACATCCCAGAAGAATATGGAAGTATTAAGTCATTGTGGAAGTTGAATTTGAGTTCCAATGCTCTCTCTGGGCCAATCCCAGAATTTATTGGGAAATTGGAGAATATGAGGCTTTTGGATTTGTCTAAAAATAGGTTTTCAGGGGAAATTCCACCCAATTTGTTTGCAAATTGTGAAAAAATGAAGTTTGTTTCTTTATCTAGCAACAATCTTACTGGTTCAATTCCTGATTCTGTGATCAATTGCACAAGTCTTATGGGTTTTGATGTTTCTTACAATGTGCTTGGTGGTAGTGTATCTTCTCGACTTTGCGAGTTGCCTAGTTTGTCTTTCTTGTCATTGAGGAGAAATGTGTTTGCTGGGAGTATTGAAGGGAAGCTAACAGGTTGCAACAGCTTAGAGTTTTTGGACCTTAGTAGCAATATGCTCGATGGGAAGGCGCCGTTTGATCGATTAGGATTGGTGAATATGACTTATTTCAATGTTTCTAATAATGGATTTCAAGGGCAGATTCCGGATGCCATTACATGCAGCCAGAGGATGAGGTTTTTTGATGCTTCATGGAACAACTTGGATGGGGTGATTCCTTCATGGATCACAAACTGTGCAAACCTGAAAATTTTGGACTTGGAGAGCAATAGGCTAACTGGGAATATCCCAAAGGGCATTGGGACTTTGAAGAACCTTTCAAGCTTAAGGTTGGGGAATAACTCGATAGACGGGACAATCCCTGAAGAGATTGGAGATATTGAGCTATTGCAAGTTCTCAATTTACACAACCTCAATCTTCATGGTCCAATTCCTGACGAACTTGCTCGTTGTCGATTTCTCCTTGAGCTGTGAGTCACCTTATTACAAGTATTCACAACTGCTTTATTGTTTTAACTTAAGCTTTGTTTTGATTTGAACATGTAAGTTGAAACATATTCTATGATGTTTTGCTCCTGCAGGGATGTTTCTGGCAATGTATTAGAAGGTGAAATACCTCAAACCATATATAACATGACATACCTTTTAATTCTCGACCTTCATAAGAACAAACTCAGGGGTAACATCCCGATAAATATTGGAGACCTCTCTGGGATCAAGTATCTTGATCTTTCGGAAAATTTACTATCTGGATCAATCCCTACTTCACTAGGTAATCTAGGAAAGCTTACCCATTTTAATGTTTCATACAATTCTCTTTCTGGGGAAATACCTCAACTTTCAACTATCACAAACTTCGGGTATACATCATTTTATCATAACCCTCGGCTGTGTGGCCATCCTCTGGACAGCTGCTCGGGGGCAATGTCAAAAAGGGCAAAGGCGCTTACAGTTTCTGCCATTGTTGCAATTGTTGCTGCTGCTCTTATTCTTTTTGGGGTTTGCATAGTTACCATATTAAATAAAGGGGCACGCAAGAGTAGGGAAGAAGTGGAGACCATGGTTTTAGAAAGCACTCCTTTGGCTTCCACTGAAACAAATATCATCATTGGGAAGTTGGTTTTGTTCAGCAAAAGTTTGCCGTCCAAATATGAAGATTGGGAAGCTGGTACCCGAGCTTTGCTTGACAAAGAGCGTCTTGTTGGTGGAGGCTCCCTAGGTACAGTCTACAGAACCAGTTTTGAAGGTGGGATCTCGATAGCTGTGAAGAAGCTCGAGACTTTGGGAAGGATCAAAAGTCAAGATGAATTTGAGCAAGAAATTGGAAAATTAGGAAATATTCAGCACCCCCATTTGGCAACATTTCAAGGTTACTACTGGTCTTCGACTATGCAGCTGATTCTTTCAGAGTTTATTCCTAATGGTAACCTGTACGAAAATCTGCATGGCTTAAACCTTGCTAGCTCCAGTAGTCGTGGTGGATATAGCGAATTGTATTGGGGACGAAGATTTCAGATTGCCCTGGGAACTGCTAGAGCACTAGCTTATCTTCATCATGATTGTAGACCCCCAATTCTTCATCTTAACATAAAGTCCACAAATATACTCCTGGATGAAAATTATGAGCCCAGGTTATCTGATTATGGGTTGTCAAAGTTGCTTCCTATGTTTGATAATTATGGCCTGACAAAGTATCACAATGCAGTTGGGTATATTGCTCCTGAATTAGCTCAAACTTCAAGAGGAAGTGACAAGTGTGACGTATATAGTTATGGGGTTGTGTTGCTGGAGCTGGTCACAGGGAGGAAGCCTGTGGAGAGCCCTTCATCAAGCGAGATTGTTGTTTTGTGCGACTATGTAAGAGAGCTATTGGAGAGAGGATCAGCATCCGATTGCTTTGATAGAAGGTTGAGGAATTTTGCTGAAGATGAGCTGATTCAAGTTATGAAACTAGGGCTTTATTGTACTTCTCAGGTTCCTTCCAAGAGACCTAGTATGGCTGAAGTTGTCCAATTCCTTGAGTCGATTAGGAATCACAGTACTTGAAACTGAAACAAATGGTTTTTTGAAATGTGGGTTATATTTGTGTATGTTCGTTGTGCAGTGAAGCAACGTAGTTTAGCAGAGAGGGAAGTTGAGATACTTTCCGAAGAAATAGGTAGGGCGTTAGGGGAAACATCAGTGATTCTTTTGTATTCTTTTTCTTTGTTTTCAATCTCTCCCATTGTTGTACACACCCTATATTCTGAAATAAATTCATTGATTTTTTGTATATCCCATACAATCCGTTCGCCTCTGCTCGAATTTAAATTTTGGCCTATGTTTAGAGTTATTTGACCGTGAAAGCGTCTGTTACAGCATTTTCTAAATCAGAATGCACCATCAGGTCAGAGAACCACCGTCTCAGACATTACACATATCAGACTTCTTTCAGTTTTCGGTACTGAAGTAAGCTTTCAGAATTTATTTTCTTCCATCTCCAACATGATATCCAGATACCAGTACTAGAAGATTAAACAAACTAATATGCCAACTGCAATTTCATTCTCTTTTCAGGAGCTTATCCTATCAATATAATTTCTTTTTGAACTAGACTATACACTTTTTAAGTATAATAAATGAATAGCAATTTAACTACGAGATTTACAAGTTTCCATGATTCTTCGTATCCTGCCCATAACTACAGGAATATCCTTTTCGCCTAAAGTTGCAAAGCAGCATTGAAACCACCCAGGCTCTATGCAATGGCATGAAGATCCAGGTATTATGTTGATCTTGGCTACATTCAACAACTTATCCCAAAGCTCAAGTTCTCCTTTCTCGCTGTAAGACCGAATTAATCCACTCATATCAACCCAACAACAGAAACCTCCGCTGCTTTTTGTGGATTCAATGCCCAATTCTTTCAGCCCTGACACAAATTTCATACATAATCTCTGTAGTCTCTCTCTATTAGTCTGTATCAATGTCTGGATGAATCTTGTATCAGAAAGCATTGAGAATAGCAATCGTTGGATTATAGATGATAATGGAGAAAACCGCACCATTTTTGTGGCAGCAGCCAAAAGATTATGATTAAAAGAATAAATTACTCCTGCTCTAAAACTGTTAAGAGAAAGATCTTCTGATAGATTGTAGACTACATGAACCCTGTTGCGCTCAAGATCTTCTGATTCGATCATTTCAGCCATGCTGATGAATTCTTCTCCACCATGAGTAGACCCCACAAAAATTTCATTGGATATTATGTGTATATTTTTCTCTGTAGCAAAATCTATAAGATTATAGAGTGCTTCTCTGCCAAGCAGATTGCCAACGGAATTTGAGGGATTCGAAATAATCACCCCACGAACTTTCATGCCACGCTTCTTTGCCTGGTGGAAAGCACGATCAAGGGCTGTAATGCTTGGATTGAAATTATCAGCACTACGGCAAGGAACAGGAATTATTTCAACCCCAGTTCGCCACTTTATATCCCTGTCAAACCTGCAGACATTTAAGTTAAATCCTCAGAAATTTCAACATGCTCAAAAATAAAGAGAATAGAGGGTTTGGAGTGCTGACTCTACTAAGAGGGAAAGCATAATACCCAGGATAGTACGGGGAAGGAACAAGAAATGCGTTTCCAGGATCTGCCAAGCAGAAGCAAAGGATCTCAATCGCTGAGGCTGCACCAGCTGTCAAAACTATTTGGGACGGCTTAAAATGAACCCTTCTTTCTGTGATTTCAGACATGAATCCAGCTACTGCCTATAATGATATACTCGTATCAACTCACTAGTAAAGCAATTTAAGCGTAGCTTATGAGAATTGTAATTCAAAGCATGCTGAGGAACAATCTGAATAATGTCTTGGAATTTCGTGTGTACAGATGAAATCCGCGAATTCTCAGATTCTCAGACCCGGTATTATTTCAAAATTGTGTTTAGGAAGATGACTAAATGAGGAACTATAAACATGAAAAAGAATCACAAAAAGCTCAACAAAAAATAGGTTTTTTTTTTTTACTATAATTGGTATCATATATTATAATCAATTGTAATCAAATGCAGGTTGTCCTTTTTATAGAAACTAAAAAGTTAGAAATCATTTCATTAACTAGGTTGGAAGCTAGTAAAGTAGTGAGGAGTAGTACTAAAGTATACCATTTTCAATTCCATGATTCCATCAAAAGGTTGATAAGTTGCAGTCCCACTTATACTCATTTCTTCTGCTCCACCACAGTACTCATTTCTTGTACTTGACAATATTGAATTCTTCCCATTTTTCACCATCCATTCTCTCACCAAATCTACACACACCTGCAACATTACAATAAAACATCATAATGAATTCTCATTAATTCAAAAACACTTTCCACGTGCACCTATAGCAACGTCGGACAATACAAATGAGCAAAATAATAGCCTTAATATAATTACATACCAAACTCTAGCAAAATATTATACGAAGTATAATAGTATCATGATAACACTCAAAATTTAAATCAATACACAAGTAAAATGTATTTAATGCTTATACACACGTATCAAAGCCGTAAATAAAAAAATAAACCCACATGATTTTCGGGCAAGCCAAGCTGAAAAATACCATCAGGATTACCCAACCGATCAAACGGGTCATCATCAACCCGACTCAACCCAACAAGATACGGCGAACTGTTAACCGATTTAACCGCTCTCGAAGACAAATGGGCCGGGCCAGCCGGGCTTCGAGGTGAGAGAAGCGACCGCGACAGAGACCTCTCCAATCCCGGCGCCGGCGGAACAATCTCCGGCGACGGAGAAGAATTATCATTATCATCACTAGTAGTATCTTTGTTATCGGAACGATTTCTACGAAGATAAAGCTGAAGAAAGTAAAACAGAGCACAGGGTATAACAGAGCCAAAGAAGAGACCCCCTCTTCCCTGAGCAACGCCTTGTAAAGGGACGATTATCCTCATCTCTGTCCCTCCGCCGGAGCCGGCAGATTTTCCGGCGGGTTTGGGTTTTCCGGTGGGTTCGTCGGCGGCGGAGAAAAGGGTCATAGCTTATAGTGATGATGATGATGAAGAGGAGAAATCATGGTATTTTGTGGTGGTTTGAGAGTTAGCGTGAGAGAGGAGAGAGAAAAAGAGGGAGGAATTTTTGGATTGTTTATACAAGTATGTGTTAGCAAAATATTTGAGTAAAGTTTTATTTATGAATTTTATTATGAAATGAATCATTTTTTTAGGAGTGTATTGTGTATGTAATATGTATGTGTCTTGGATTGCGGGGGTTGAAAGGAGGAGGTGCTTAATTGGACGAATAATGAGGAGAGAGAAAATTAGGGGGAGGTTTTTTTTTTTGTGAGTGTCAAGATGCAAGATCCAATTCTTGGGGATGTTTTGGATGTGACAAGCTTGGTTATAGGACCTAGTGATGTCATATGTGGTTAAGTCTAGCCCAAACCAACCGGTCCGGACTCGGACTTAGGTTGGTAATGGTCGAATTTGAGCACGGGTTTGGCGTAAAGCTTGTTGAAACTATAGCGACACTGTTTATTTAGGTGTTTTCACTTGTTTACCCTTTTGAGCTAGTTCGAATTCGGAGCTCGATTTTGAATAATTAGGTTCTAATTTCCTCCTAATTGTCCTCCCTACTAAGTGCAATCCAATATTTGGGTTTTTCTTTGTGGTTTGTACCGTACGTGCATGAGACATACTATCAACTTCTATTAGTTGTTGATCAATGTAAAGGTCTTAATTGTCTGTTACTCTACAATAATGAAGAATACGTTAAAAATGGTTGGAAATAACCGGTACAACATATAAAAGCAACTATAGTATGCACATATTTCATACAATATTCCTAAACATACTAAAAAAAAGACATCGATTGTGGAATTAATGAATTTTATTAATTGAGTTATTAAAGTGTAGGAAATACGGAGTATATTTAAAAACTAAGAGCTATAATTAGGCGAATTAACACATACATTTCTACATTATTGTCTTTTATAACTCTATAAATAAAAAGTTGTAAAATATTGATATATCCATGCCTTTATAAAATAGTTTTGCTAGATGCCATTTAAGGAATTGGGCTCAATTTTGAGTTCATTATGTTTGCAATAAGTTTGATATAGTTTAGCTCAAGAGCTTCCCACATTAGTTCAACTTAAGGATGCATTTGATCCATCCGATTTTATTGAATAAAAATTATTTAATTGTATGAATTTTAGTATTTAGGAAATATTCCTCGTGACTGAAATTCCTAATGTGATACAAAGTTTCAATATACTTCATACCTAATAAGATACAATGTTATCCACCGTAGCCAGGTGTGCAACCCGAGTCGCATTCGGATATAATCGAAGCTAACCGGATGGCAATCTTGTAAGTTGATTGACTTTGTAGGTTTTTTGATATAATAATAATAATAATAATAATAATAATAATAGTAAGATGTAATGAAAACAATTTTTACATTAGGTCACGGCTCTTGTGTATTTGGTCATCTAAGGAATCGATCCTTTTAGTGGTATCATATGTCATCATAATTTTATCTGCAAGGAACATGTCATATTCATACCAGGAAGAAGATAACACACATAATCACCTACTTATATTAAACAAGAAACAAATTAATTATTATGTCGTTGTCTTTTAAAGTGTATGTATGTATGTATGTATCCAAATTGTGTTAAATTTTTATGAATATGAAGGTAATGAACTAATAATTACTGAAAATATATATACAAAGTATATATTTTTTGTCATCTAAGAGCCTACACAAATTCTTAATATGTGCATGCTGGCATACACCGCCATCATGGGGTCGCTAGTGTTTTAGGGGTTAGTTACTCGATTGGTCAGTGTTATAGGGTTAGATTGTTAGTGTTATATAGCTACTTGGTTAGTAATTTAGGAGTTACTCAGTCAATATTATAGAGATTACTCATTCAGTGTATAGTAATAGAAGTTACTTTATTCTCTTACAAACAACCACATGGCGTGTCCAATCGCACACAAATCGTGTTAGAGAGCTGAACTAATTGAGGATTAAGGACAAATATGAAAAATTCATAAATAGTCCTTAATTTGATTTATGTATTCTTTTTTTTTTTTTAGAATCTTATATGTAGCCTATTATATTCACCGTCGTTCTTAAAAATTATGAAGAGAAGCTTTTAAACATTTAAAAAGTCAAAAAATATAACTAAAATAAAATAACAACGCAGTACTAGCTAGTAGCTATACTAAATACTACTTGTAATTGCTTTTATTTGTCACTGTCGTTGACACCTTATATTATTGTCCATGCTTGGTTTATGCATGTGCACAAACAAAGTGCTCATTCATTTATAGGTTCCTTCATGTTTGATTACACAATCATATTTAGAACTTAGAAGAGTACATCCACAAACTAGAAAATTAAAGATAAGAGAAGCCTCAAATCAAAGACAACTTGGGGGCTCACTTTAATATTATTAGACAATTGAAGACAAAATTTACAACTTTCTTCCTTTTTGGAAGTTTTTATGTCTCACCACAAAAATCAGCGCAGCCAAATCCAAGAACCAAAGTCTCTCGACCATCCAATTAATTCTTTCATTCTCCTTATATAATAATGGGCGCCATCATACTACAAGTCTACAATGCCCAATTGCCCACAAGGCCACAAAAATAAAAATGCAAGTGTTTTGCCACATAGATAATAATTAGAAAACATGGAAATTAAAAATCCAACTTGCGCGGTCTTCTCTTAAAATCCAACCTTTACTTAGGCCATGTTTGGTAAATGGTTTTTTGATGGCTTTTTGGTTAGCTTTTGGTTTTTTTATGTGGTCAAACAGTCAAAAAATGTGTTTGGTAATGACTTTTTAGTAAGCGAAAAAGCTGGCTTTTAAACCAAAATGAAAAACTACTTTTAGTAGCTTTTTTTGTTGGCTTTTAGCTTGTTGGCACACAAATTATCTAATAAACAGCCAACAACCAACAATTAATTTACCAAACACTTTTATAAACAACCAATTTCAAAAACCATCAATTATGAACAGCCAAACATTTCAACTAGTCAAACAAGCCAAGTGAACCAGCCAACCGCCAACAGCAATTTTCCAAACAGGGCCTTAATCTCACAAAAATCCAATCTTTATACCCCATCTTCTCCAATAGATCCATTTTATTGGTGACTTGATGAACAAGTTAATTTTTTCTTTTTTAATTTTATCACTTTCCCTTCTCACTCAAAAGCTGAAACCACCAACCCCAATCGAAATTCAGCACGCACCGCCTCCGCCGCCGCCACCTCTGCCACCACCACTACCCAGACCCAGAACCGAAACCACCATCCCCACCTAGGCTCGAATCACAAACAACCAACCCATACTTAGGCTCGAATCAGGCAACCAAAACGAAGAACCAACCCCACTGCCAGAACCACCCCCTCCCCTGCACCAATTATAACCACCGCATCGGAAAAGTAAGGTCGTTGATCTTCATCAATCTTCGATGGAATAATTCCACCCAACTACAGCAGCCCCGTTTCTCTTGCGGTTTTGATTTTCGCCGGAAAATTCCGAGTCGATTATGCGTTGAATTTGGCCGGTGAATTCGTACAGGGTAAGGGGGAAAGGGGATAGGGGTGGTCGACCGACGTTTGGGGATTGTGATTGTGGTGGCGAATTAATTGGTGATTGTGGGTATCGTGTGTGCCAGTGAGAGGAGTGGTGTGAGTTTTCCGGTGGTGAGGGGAATGGTGTTGCTAGATTCCAGATTTCCGGTGGCCGGTGGAGATAGGGTGGTCAGGGAAGGATTTGGGAGGGGGGCTAGCTGGTTTACAGATTTTATATATATATATATTGTTTTTTTAATAATTAATTAAAAAATTGACCTATTAATAGCTAACACATGACATATAACTTACAAAAACCCGTCATCAATAGGTAATGGATCTTTAGATGAAGGTGGGGTATAAATGTTAGATTTTTGTGGGATTACGCAAAGGTTGGATTTTTTTAGAGAATATCGCGCAAAGGTTGGATTTTTATTTTCCATTTAATAATTTTTTTTGGTATCAATCTTTTTAAAAGCAAGGATCATAACCAACAAGAGTTGGCTCAAGTGGTAAACAACTTGATGTCGCTTAAGGGTTTGAGCCTCACCACATGCTATCCGAGTCGAATACGGATGTAGTCGGAGCTAAGATCTGGTGAACGGGGTGGACATCCTAAAAAAAAACAAGGATCATTATTGTATAAATTATATGAGTAATAAATTATTATGGATTATAAGTCAACCTCATGCAATAAAAAGTTAAATAAAGTGCATACTTTTCTTTGATGAGCTACCCAAAATGATTGGTGTTGTTACTTATTTGCATATGAAGACCTATACACAATTGGTGCATATAATGTGAAATAGAGATAATAAATCTTATTGGTATTTGATTCATATAATAGTTAAGTTATTAATTTGTTTGGTTGCAATTTTTTTTTGTTTTGTTTTTTTTTTTTTTTTTTTTGACAAGAGCTTAAATAAATAAAGATATATTAGAAAAAGAACAAAGATGCTGAGGTTGCTAGTTGATGCACCAAATGTACTCTCGCTCTGTCGGACAACCTTGTGAATGCTACACTACGAAAATTGCTTCTCAGAGCACTCACAACCATGAGCAAAATATATGCTCATGGGCATTTCTTGTGAGCAAATATTTTGCTCATCACCCACAATGGTGAGCTAAACCAAAAATGCAAGAAAAAGCCCATGGGCAAAATGAAAATGTCCATAGCATGGGCATTTCTTCTGATGAACAGTGATCTCGGTGGGGCCCACAAGCTGGAGGAAAGCTGGAAAAAAAAAAATACGGGTACTGTTCATGCCAGGCTGCCAGCGAGTAGGAGCGCGACACGTGGCATGTTCAGGGTGTTGGCCAATGACAAAATTAGCCGTTTTACAACGGTTATAATCTTCCCATTGCATTTTCTGAAAAATATTTTCAGTAAAAAAAAAAAAAAAAAAATTACCAACGGTCATAAAATTAAATTCTCTATAAATAGACATGCATTTTGATATATTTTGATATATTTTCGAAATCACTTAAAATCCTCCACTTTTTTATTTTCTTAAGCATTTTAAATTTGTTGAAGAGCATTTTTGTTGCAACACACCCATATTGAGGTAAATTTTTTTTTTTTTTTATTATTTAAATAAAGTTATGTAATAAAATTAATATATATGTGATTTTTTGAAAAAAAAAATATTATGTAATTGCATTATGTAATTGAAAAAAAAATATATGTTGTTTAATTGCATTATGTAATTGAAGAAAGTTGTTGATATGTTCTCCATACATTACTAAATTTGTAGTAAAAAAAGTGTTGCATTTATTGGTTACTTTTTTTTTTGTTGTAATATTAAGTTATGTATTAAAATTAGTATATGTGTGTTTTTTTGAAAAAAAAAATATTATATGCCATGTTTACTTAATTGAAAAACCCAATTGAAGAAATTTGTTGATATTTTCTCCATACATTACTAAATTTGTAGTAAAAAAAGTGTTGCATTTATTTGATATATTTGCTTTTTTTTCTAATATATAAATTTAGTTATGTATTAAAATTATTATATGTGTGTTTTTTTGAAAAAAAAAAAAATATAAAACCATGTTGTTTAATTGCATTATGTAATTGAAGAAAGTTGTTGATATTTTCTCCATACATTACTAAATTTGTAGTTGCAAAAGTGTTGCATTTATTGGTTACTTTTTTTTTTTCTAATATATAAATTTAGTTATGTATTAAAATTAGTATATGTGTGTTTTCTCCATACATTACTAAATTCAAACATTACTAAATTCGTAGTTAATAAAGTCTTCCAATTATTGGTTAATTTTTTTTTTTAATATATAAATTTAGTTATGTATTAAAATTAGTATATATGTGATTATGTGAAAAAAAAAAATTATCTTTTGTAAAAAATTAGTAAATTTTAGTACAAATATTTATCTTTTGTTTTGTGATGCAGAATCTTTTAATGGATCCAAACAACCCAAATTTCCGCCAACAATTTTCTGGTTTTAGTGATGATTTGCTAACTAATCCCGAGTTTCAATTGTTCTTGCAAAGAATGGGCAATACGTCTTTGCAACCATCTCCACAGTATCAGACACCCACTCAGTTTCCCCTACGAAACCATGTTATTGAAGAATGTACACCTGAAACTGTACATGATAGCAACACACAATTCAATGAGAGCGAAGAGGACAGCGTACCAGAGACGCCGCAATATCCTCCACCAGTTCCCGAACTGAAATCCAACCAGGTTGTTGCACGAGCGACTCGAATTTGGTCAGTTGCGGAAGATGAAACTCTGATTGGGTTGTACTTGGAGATCAGTGAGAATGCTATTAAAGGCACGAGCCAGAAAGCAACTTCCCTTTGGCGCGATGTACACGCAGCATATCAACTTGCTCATGCGGAGAAGCCGCATATACTTCCACCAAGACCTATGAAGAGTCTGACGTCGCACTGGAGAAGGTTGGCAGCAGACACACTACAGTGGATATCTTGCTATGATGAAGCAGGTAGACTTCCGGAGGGAGGGAGTGGTTACAACGAAGCTGACCGTATAAAAAGTGCGTCGAAGCTTTTCCATCTCGCCCAAGGTCGTAATTTCGCTTTTCCTCACGCTGTTGAAATGCTTAATAGAGATCCAAAGTGGAGGCCAAAGCTGAGATGGTCCTTGTCAAAGGAGGAAAGAAAAGCTGTTCGTGATGTTGAGGAGCAAGGTAGTGCTGGAAGTGGGAAGAGGTCCAGAGATGATGGAGGGGATGAAACCCCTACGGATGGTTTTTCATCTGGAGGAATACAACGACCCGAAGGTGTGAAGAAAGCAAAGGCCAAGCGTAAAGGGAAAGAAGTAGCTTCGGACAGTGGTTCGTCTGAGCTTAGCGAACGAATGAAGGAATTGGCAACAATTCGCGAGAGGGAGGCCATTCTGAAGGAAGAGCGGATCAAAATTGAAAGGGAGAAGGAACAGAGGAAAAGGGAGGAACTTGACATTCATAAGATGAAAACCTGGTTTGATATGGTGCAAGCTATGAAGAATTCGCCTACTCCACTCACTCCTGAAGAAGAGTCGTACAAGAATTTCTTACTGGGTAAATTACAGGGCTTATAAGCATGTTTGGTTGTAGTAGGTGTACGCTTGTATTAGTTAAGTTTTTAATTATGCGCAATGTAGTCTTTTATGTTTAACATGTATTAGTGGTGTGTTTAATTTCACTGTCATATGTAAACTTGTATTCTGATTTTCCAATATTGAATGACAAGTTGTTTAACAAGTTGATTTCAGTTGTCATTGTTACCGACATAGTTGCATTCAATTGTTGTCATTGGGTAGTCACTTTTTTTCTGATTTCACTTTAACTTTGGGTCATTCATGGCAACAAAATTGCAATAACTCTTTATCATTCAGTAGTCACATTTTTGTCATTGTGTAGTCACATGTTTCTGAATTAACTTTGTCAGTATGCTTTAACTTTAGGTCATTCATACCGACATGGTGTAGTCACTTTTGTTCTGAATACACTTTGTCAAGATTTGTCATTGTCAACTAGCATAGTATACCTATTCCGTGGCTGAAAATTTGAATGCTTTAGTTGGTGTGGTCATTCAGATTTGTAACCACATATTCATTTGATTTATTTGCTATATATAGTAGGCATGGCACATATCCACAACCACACCAATTAAGAAAATTATAATATTAATACATGATGTATTCCAGACCATCATCAAGTTCAAGTTCAAGTTCATCTTCTTCCAATAATGAAGAATATGATCAACTCGTTGATGAACTCTTCACATACCAACCCACATCTTTCCTCATGCCCCAAACACAATCCCAACGTACTTCAAAATCACGTAGAGGGGGTACGAACAGAAGAGATTGGGAAATGGGACATGCCAGGCTGTTCAATGATTATTTTTCCGATAATCCTGTGTACAATACCACCCAATTTAGAAGAAGATTTCGTATGCAACGACCTTTGTTTTTACGTATAATGAACAAGGTCGTTGAAGGTGATGTTTACTTCCAGCAGCGTAGGGATGCAACTGGAAAGTTAGGCATATCACCTCTGCAAAAATGTACAGCCGCGATACGAATGTTAGCCTATGGCATGGCTGCAGACGCTGTTGATGAATACGTTCGAATCAGTCAGTCAACCGCTCGAGTTGCCCTACAACGTTTTTGTGCCGGGGTCATTGACCAGTTCGGAACCGAGTACATGCGAAACCCTACAACTGATGAATTGGCCCGGATACTGCATCAAAATGAACTACGTGGTTTTCCAGGCATGATAGGCAGCATTGATTGCATGCATTGGGAATGGAAGAACTGTCCAACGGCTTGGAAAGCGCAGTACGCCGGTAGGAACAAGAAAGCAACGCTAATACTGGAAGCCGTTGCGGATCAGGATTTATGGATATGGCATTCCTTCTTTGGTATTCCCGGATCTTGTAATGATCTTAATGTGTTGTACCGTTCACCAGTGTTCGATGAGGTTCTGCATGGTCGAGCTCCTCCGGTAAATTTTACGGTTAACGGCCATGAATACAACATGGCTTATTATTTAGCCGACGGCATTTATCCGAAGTGGGCAACTTTTGTTCAGGGTATCACATTCCCTCAACTGGCCAAAGATAAAATGTTCGCTGACCACCAGGCTGCCGCTCGAAAGGACGTTGAAAGAGCTTTCGGTGTGTTGCAAGCTCGATTTGCAATAATACGAAAACCGTCGCTGGCGTACGATGAGGACATACTGCGGGACATAATGAAAACATGTATCATTATGCACAACATGATTGTTGAAGATGAGCGCCACAACTACACTCGAGCCGAAGTTCTAAGAGCCTTCTACGAAGAAGATCAACAAGAATCAACATCTACAACGCCACCGTTTGAATTCAACGTAGGCCGACCTACCAACTTTGATTTCAACGCATTTCTACAGCGAAAAGCTTCCCTCCGTGACAGAGAAATTCATCTATCTCTGAAACGTGATTTAGTCGAACATATTTGGCAACACTACGGGCCACGTAATTAGGGAGAAATTAGCACGACTTAAATAAAGCCAAGTACTATGGCGTAGCTACTTTTACTTGTTGTGTTTATTTTATTTCTAAGTTTAATTACGCATGACGTTGCAAATGTAATTGGTTTCTAGTATTGTACCGCTTTTAAAATAAATAAAAACATTTAAGAAATTTTGAGCTTTTTTAAAATTTTTTTTTATATAACGTACTTAATTTTACGACAAATTTTAACGATAAAAAGGACAAAAATAAAAAAAATAAGTTACACAAATTTTAACTAGTTTTTATTTATTTGGAGTAACATTGTTAAAATATAAATGAAATAAATAAATAAAGAAGTGTTGTGTAGGAGAGAGAAAGTAATGGTGGGGTATTGAAAAAGTAAGAGAGAGAGAGTGGTGGGTGGGCAATTTTTTTGCTCACCATTGGGAGAGAATATGTGAAAAAATTTGCCCATGAGCAAAACTTATTTCTTGAGAGAGAAAGTGGGTAGAGAGAGAGTGGGTGAGCATTTTTTTTGCTCACCATTGAGAGTGGTCTCAATTGAATTAATTTGTTGGAGAATCCAAATGACTTGAATATCTTATGTATTATGATGTTGCAGCATATTGATTGACTAGATTATGCGAATGTGAGAGAATGGTTATCATACTGAAGGAAAAAACTTGAAACCCACTATTGGCTAAGTAAACAAGCTTGTGCTTCTCTACTATGAAGAGCTGAAACAAAATGACCAAAGTTTGCGCCTCCTTGGAAACTTGTTGAGTAAGGTTGCAGTTAGTGATTCAAGACACGACCCCATATATGGACCTTTTTGTATTCCTATGCCAAGAATCATCCTTGAGAAAACCACCATAGGTGCATGATTACCCTGATTTTGTATGACTGTTCTATTGAAACTAGGGGTATGCCATGCAAAGGATCAAAATCCAGAAAGTGACAATCCCTAGAAGAACCCTAATGTGTTGTTGTACGCGTATCACGTGTTGTCAATTTGTCATGACCACTTTGATAATGGCTTTAATTGTTTGATAGCTTGCTAATAGAGTAAGCAAACATGGTAATATTAGTTCCGACTTGGATTTTAAAAAGTCTAATATAGTAGAGAATGCAATCCTTAATGGTGAGGTCCTCATTTGTTTCTGGGTGGATGCTAAGGCTTCCACACCTCTAAGTAAGTAACACAGATCTGCAGAACCTAAATAAGTGTGTGAACGTTAAGTACAATTACTAGATATATTATTAGATTAATATTATGGAGATAATTAGAGTCTGTTCTCTTACGTTGAAATCCAGTTCAGTTCAGTTCAGTTCAGCTCCTAATTTCCTTCTCTTATGAAATACTCATTTCATTTCAGTTCAGTTCAGTTCAGTTCAGTTTAGTTCAATTCAATTCAGTTCAGCTGAGTTTAGTCAATGAGAACAAGCCCTTAATTCATTTTTTGGGTCATCATTATTTATTGCTACACGTGATCAATGATATTTGAGCTAGTCAAATAGTCCAAAGCCCAATAGATCGAATAGATCCTACCTATGAGGTTACACTTTTGAGGTGATAGATTGAACAAAAGTAGAAAAGGCCCAATGTTGGGGCCTATAACGAGATGGTCAGCTATATGGAGAGGAAATAAAGAGTTAACCCTGGTGCACCTTAGATAGGCGTAACAATGCAGCCCAAAAGCCCAATTACACACAACCTAATTAAAAAAAGCCCTAAAACAAAAAAACATGGAAACAACAATACACCCACGCATACCCAATACACCCACCCTCACCCAATAAATGTAACGTCACCTCCAAACTCAAAACTTTTTTCTTCTATATGATTTTCTCTCTCCTCTTTTTCACTTTCTCTCTCCTCTATTTCATTTACTCACTAAAAAACTGCAAAAACATTAATGGACATTAGAGAAGAGATGCAAAATCAAAAGGATCCTCCCTAAAAAAGGCAATTTTATGTAAATTTCACTTAATTTTGTTTGAATTTATATGATTATCACTTAATTTTGTTAAGATAATTATTCGATACTCTCTATTGTTCGAAATTTTTATTGGAATTGTCAATAAAAATTAGTGAAATCAAACGAATACCTTATGTTCACATTGCGAAATGCATATGTTCATATTTTAAATTCTTATGTTCATGTTTTGAATCCTTTTGTAAACTTTCTGAAATGCTTATATTCACTTTCTTAATTCATATGTTCATATTTTTTTTATGTATATTTTCACCTTCTGAAATGCTTAATTATGTTCATACGCATTCAAAAATGAACCAGTGCATATGTTCATATTTTGAATGCATATGTTCATATTTTTAATACTTATGATGCATATGTTTCATAATCATATTATTTTTTATTTCTTCAATTTTTTTGTTCACAATTAAATGCCTTATATTCATTTATATTCATAATAATATTTTATATGTTCATAATGTATATATTCATAGTAAATATTTGTTGTTCATAAATATTCTCATCAAGTCTGTTTATGCATATGTTCTCTTTCTTAAATGCATATGTTCATATTTTTTTACGCATATGTTCACCTTTTAAATGGTTATATTCACTTTAAGGAAACCAATGCTTACGTTTATATTTTGAATTGTTATATTTACTTTTTGAAATGCATATGTTCATATATTTTATGCCTATGTTCACCTTCTGAACAGCTAATGTTCACATTTAAGGGAATCTATGCATATGTTCATATTTTGCATGATTATGTTCATTGATAAAAAAAATGCTAGAAAATCAGATGAAATTCATACACAGATGAAATTGATCGAAGCAAAAAAAATCCAATTCATATGAATTCAAAAAATCAGATAAACAACCAATTCCATATTGTAAGGAACAAATTCAATCGTTAAATCGAAAAACGAGAAAAATAGAAGAAAAAAAATAGAGGAAAAAGGAATTAAAGAAGGAAGGAGAAAAAACCGAGTATAATTTGTGAATTCAAATATTCATATAAACCTTAATCAATCGAAATTAAAGCACAAAATAGAAATTCACACAAAAATTCATACTTAATAACTACTTTCATGTTGTAAGAAACAAATTTAATCAAAAAAGT